AAATATACAGAAAAAATTAACCAGGCAAGGTGGCATGTACCTGTAGTCCCAGCTACCCGGAAGGCTGAGGCAGGAGGATCACTTGAGCCCAGGAGTTTGAGGTTGCTGTGAGCTAGGCTGACACCACCACACTCTAGCCCAGGCAACAGAGCAAGACTCTGTTTCAAAAATAAATAAATAAATAAAATAAGGAATATTTATTGAGCACTTACAATGTGCCAGGCCCTGTGCCGAATAATTTGCATGCATTATTTTATTTAATCCTCATAACAACTCTGAGAGAAATACCACCATTACCCCATTGTGCAGATTGTGAGGAAATGGAGGATCCACAGAACCTGGTCATTTGCCCAGGATCACAGGACGTGGCAAGTGGTGGAGGCGCAGGCTCGAGTGCTAAGCGAGGCTGCCTCCCGGACTCCTGAGGGAGGCCGCGTGGCCGGCGGTGAGGGCAGCAGGGCCCGCTGGGCCAGCAGCAGGCGCCAGGCTCCTTACCCCCTTCCTCCTTCGCTTAACACCTGAAGACCTGGAAACACCCAGAGGCCGCACAGCTGTGGATCCTTCTGTGGCTGATAAAGACTTCCTTTAAATGAGTCATTTCCTTCAAAAAGCAGGGGAAAATATGTTGAGATTTTAGCAGAAATGCCCATCCCCACCCCACCCTCACACCCTTACCCACTGCCTGATCTTGTTCGGCTCCCTGAACCCTCTGCCGGGAAGCGCCAGCCGCTGGAGAAGCTGCCATCCAGCCTCACGAACCCCTTGTGGCGCGGGCACCTGAGGTCACAACTGACCCCAGGGAAAGGAACCACCACCAGGCCTGTTTCTCTGAAAGGCTGGGCCTCCTACCTTCGATCCCAGTGACAGGAACAGACTTGCCTCCTCAGGGAAGCTGGCCATCTCTCTGGTTGTCTTCATTTACCGGGTGGGGCCTTCATTTCTGTCTTGTTCTGCCTGCCCTCCTTCCCACCCGGTTTCTCTCTTCCCTGCCTTTATCCTCGTGCTCTGTTTTCCTATCTGCTCGATCATTCATTCCTTCGTTTTGCCTTTGCCTTATTGATTGAGCCTCTGATTCATAGGTTCCCCCTCTCTGTTTCCCTCCTATTCAGGCAGCCCCCTGCCTTGAGGGTCACTGGCTAGCTGCCCTCTATGAAGCTGAGCAATTCCAGAACTTGAGCTGAGTTAAGCTAAGGCCACTTGGACGTTTCCTGCCAACTAGATACTGTCTTCATATTTGCTTTTTTAACAGTTTTATTGAGGTATAATTGCATACAATAAAGTTCAATCATTTTAAGTATACCGTTCAACGACTTTTGGCAAATGTATACAGCATGTAATCACTACCAAAATCAAGATATAGAACATTTGCATCACCTTGAAAAGTTTTCTTGTGCCCCTTTGCAATCAATCCTATCTCCCCACACCCTTGGCTCTTGGTAACCCTTAATCTCTTTTCTGTCACTATAGTTCTGGCTTTTTTTTTTTAACCATTTCACATAAAGGACATCATATAGTATGTAGTCTTTTGTATCCTCGCTCTTTTACTTAGGATGATGTTGCTGAGAGTCAGCCATGTTTTCACATGTATTGCTGAGGAATATACCACAATTTATTTCATTCACCAGTTGATTGGCATTTGGGTTGCTTCCAATTTGGGGCTAAAATGAATAAAGCTGACATGAGCATTCATGTACAAGTCCTTGCACAGACACAGATTTTCATTTCTCTAAGGTAAATACTTGTGAGGACGATTGCTGAGTAGTGTGGAAAGTGTATGGTTAACTTTATAAGGAATGTCTGACCTGTTTTCCAACGTGGTCACACCATTTTGCATTCCCATAAGAAGTGTATGAGAATTCCAGTTGCTCCACATTCTCACCAACACTTGGTATGATCAGTCTTTTAAATTTTAGCCATTCTCATAGGTGTGTAGTGGTCTCACATGGTGGATTTAATTTGCATTTCTTTGATAATTGTTGATTTTGAGCACCTTTTCATGTGCTATTGGCTACTCAATATATCTTCTTTTGTGGTATCTGTTGCTCATTGTTATTGAGTTGTTTTTCTTCTTATGAATGTATTGTAAGAGTTTCTCCCATCTGTTTTTATCTCTCTCTTTTCTCCTTCCTTCCTCCCTCTGTCCCTCTGGGTCTATCTTTCTCCCATGGTTCCCTGTCCCAGTTTGACCCTGAGCCCACTCTCAGGGTCTTCCACCATCCTTCCCTCTCCCTCCTTCTCCTGTGCCTCTTTCTCATGTTCTCCCTTATCTTCTCCTAGATACCTCAAAACCTGAGAACCTGACATCTTTTCCCATTGCACATTAGAAATAACTCTATCACGAGCCCACAGATTTCTGTCCTGGCCAGGGTCAGTGTTCCAAACAGGGGAAAAGCTGCCCTCCCCAGATGAAAGCCCAGAGAAGTAAAAAGACAGAGCCTGATGTAATGAACAGATGGCTTTGCATTCTGGCATCTTCTTCCTCTCTAAATGATGAATGGTGTTTATGGATAGAAGTGCTTTTTATTCAAACATAACATTGGAAAGCCAGGGGTGTTAAATGAAGTTCATCCTGCTTAATCAGCGGTCCAACAGTCTCCACAAACATAAGATTAGTTGTTCACGTAACAAGGCTCTCCTTTGGCAGGTGTCCCAATCCCAGCAGGGGTTTACTTTGCTCAATCATAGGGAAGAAGCAGCCTAGCCCAAAGCCAGCTCCTTTTCATGTCTGTTTGAGGGAAGGGGTGTGACAATATTTGATTGCAAAGCACAGAACACTTTATGCGGTGTTAGAGTACCTCAGATGGGTGATTGTGAAATGGTTTCTTTTTTTAATGCTGTATTGAGATATGATTCACTTACCATACAATTCACCCATTTAAAGTATACAATTCAGAGGCTTTTAGTATATTCACAGATATGTGTAGCCATTAACACCACAATGTTAGAACATTTTATCACCTCAAAAAGAAAAGCAGTACCCTTTAACTGTCACCCTATATTCCCCTATTCCCCCAACTCCTGGAAACCACTAATCTGCTTTCTATCTCTATAGATTTACCTTTGTTGGATATTTTATATGAATGAAATCAAATAATATGTGGTCTTTTGTGCCTGGCTTCTTTTACTTAGTATAATGTCTTCAAGGTTCATCCACGTTCTCATATGCATCGATACTTCATTCCTTTTTATGGCTGAATAATATTCCATGAGATGGTTATACTGCATTTTGTTTATTCATTCATCAGTTAATGGACATTTGGGTTGTTTATACCTTTGATTATTGTGAATAATGCCTCTGTGAGCTTTCATGTATGAGTTTTGTGCAGACATATGTTTTCATTTTTCTTGGGTACATAGTAGGTATTTCTCCTGTGTATGTACTAGAGGTAGACTTACTGGGTCATATGGTAATCCTATGTTTAATCATTTCAGGGGCTGCCAGACTATTTTTCCAAAGGGGCCACACCGTTTTACATTCCAGCCAACAATGTAGGAGGGTTTCAGTTTTTCTGCTTCCTTGCCAACACTTGTTATTCTCTGACTAAAATGCTTTTTTGGTCCTACAACTAGATCCTTGAAACGTCGCAAATACATACGTAACTATGCACACATTTACACAATCATTGACATGGACATACGCAAAACTACATAGTTGCGCACGCCTCTGGAGTTCACATACACACAGAATCTTTTCAATATTTACAATCACATACATAATTGCACATACATGTAATCACATGCACCATATTTCAATCCCTAGACCACATGTGTGAACATAAGCAGACATACAATGGACCAATACCATCACACATGTGCATGCAAATGCTGTGGGTCTGAGCAAACATACACATTTGCACACAGAACCAGAGACACACGCACTTAGTAATGCATTCACACCTGCACAAACACAAATACACAAATAGTAGTTGGACACACAAAAGCATAAAAGCAAAATCCTTGAAAAGCACACATACATAGTTCCCATCACTTATGGGTGAGTATCTGAAAGCAGATTGAATATATTTACTCTGGATGACATGGAGATGGTTGAGATTTCATTAGTCCTTGGTGTACTAGGTAGGAAGACCTTGTCATTCATTCATTCATTTTTTTTTTAAGCTACAAGTACACATTGGGCACACAAGAAATACAATGGTGAACAGACTGACACAGTCCCTGCCCTTAGGGAACGTATGGTCCGGGGGAGGGGGAGAGATGGTCAGTAAATAAACAAGGAAATAATCACAGTCTGTGAAATGTGCCAAGAAGGAAATAAGCAAAGCACTATGTTGGATAATAGGCAAAGTCCTGGCCCTGAAAAAGTGAAAGGGATTCAGACTCATCCACAAGTTATTGGATCAGCTGCTGCTGTGTGTGTGTGTGTGTGTGTGTGTGTGTGTGTGTGTGTGTGTGATAATACCAGTACTAGGTGATAAGAGTATGAGCTCAGAACCTGGACTACCTGATTTTAAATTTTCTTTGTTCCATACTAGTTGGGTGAGCTTTCTTTCCCTGTGTGTCTCAGTTTCTCATCCAAAAATAGGGATTATATTATTTTTATTAAGGATTAACTTAGCTGATACTTATAAAGCACTTAAAACTGCCTGGCAAGTGCAAAGTTCTGAATCAGCGCTAGTCGTTGCATCATTTTCCGAGAGGGAGATGAGGCACTGGGAGATTGGGGGTGGGGCAAGGGCTGGGGGGAGGATCTGGCAGTGCCCCATGGGCTGTAAACTGCACAGCTCTTCACCCTCTGCAGTATCTGAGCAGTCTTTTGGAACATGGCTCTGGCATGCCACCCTGGCAGGCCATAAACAGCCTGTCCCCGCCCCACGGTGCCCACAGCCGCAAACCACAGAGAGGATGCACGCTGGGTGGCGCTGGGCATGGCTCTTGGTTTTCAGTTGTATCAGGCCTTTGTGTGGCAGCTCTATTTGCTCTGGACTCGTGGCATTCACTGGTTCTGTTTGGCTGTCTTTTCTGTCTGTGTGTCTGTGCAGGTCAGCACTTACCACCCGGTACCTGCCTCCCCAGGACATTCCACGGCCATGGTCAGTGTGCCCGGCTCCCAGCAACACCTCTCAGCCAACATGTGAGTAAAAGGCTCAGCCCTTCACCCCAGCCATGGCACAGAAGGGTCTCTTTCCCGGCCCTTTGCCAACCATCTCAAACCATCCCGTCCAGAGAGACAATGGCTCCCCTTCCTCCACCACCTCCAAATGAAATAAAGGCTAAAAACACAAATTAGCCAACCACATCATCCTAGCTCATCCTCTCACAAAAGTAGAGAGAGACTGGAAGATTATGTACCACACCACCACTGGGAGATTGGGTATTGAGAAATTTCTATTGTCTTGCTTTGGATTCGAAACGTTGGGTCATAAATAGATGTTGCTTTAGTAATCAGCAAAAAGTAAATATAGCATTTTAGGAAGGAAAAAAAAAACCTTGTTGATGAGGATACTCCCCTCTCCCTCTCGAGAAAACACTCCAGTGTCTCACAGTCCTCAGAACCTGGAAGGGCTTCCTAAAGTCTGAGATGCCTGAGGGCCACTTGCTGGTGACCCCCGAATCCGGCAAGCCCAGGAGGATTGGTTTTTAATGCCTATAGTCAGGCAGCTATTCTCGCCTCCACGACCTCACTATTCCCTGTTGTCTTCACCCCCATGCTTGTACCTGGACACACTCGCCTGATTCCTGGGTGGACTTCAGGGTGCAAAGTCTCTGCTCTAACCCAAGGGCATTCCTGCCCCATCCGGGGCCCATCCCCCTCCACCCCACCACGCAGCCCATATTACACTGAACGCCAAAAACCCCAAACTACCCCCTGCCTCCCCATGTCCACTTCCCAGCCTACATTAAGCTGGCTCATCGGGCCACTCCTGGGAGTCAGACATGTCCCTGCTTTCAGAAGAGGAAGTGGGTCAGAGAGCCTTCCATCGCTGACCTCTTATTTCCCAGAACCCTGCTGGCTGTGACCGTTTTCTTGGGGGATGCACCAAGCAGTAGTGAAAAAGCATCCTATATAGAGCCCATACTTCTAGCTTTGGGATCTCTCTCTGCCACTAACGCCCGGTCACCAACGTCTTTTTCTGTTCAAGGCCATTTTCCCTGTTGTTAAAGTGCCGAGGTCGGCCTAAATTAGTGATTGGCAGCTAGGAGCGCTGTATGGAGGAGGGGATGAAGGAGGCAGGGATCTGGCCCCTCCATTGCTATTTCAACCGGGTTGTGCCACTTTTGTCTGCCTTACGCGTCGCGGTGTCAGTGTGAGGTTTTTACTGCTAACCACCCGGCTGACGGGCCATGCTATCCGGACTCCCTCAGCTGGCTCTGCGCCCTCCAGCAGGCACACCCACCTTCTCCCCTCACCGGGTCCCTGTGTCTCCCCAGGTTTGTAGCCCTGCACTCCTACTCAGCCCATGGACCTGACGAGCTGGACCTGCACAAGGGAGAAGGCGTCAGGGTCCTGGGGAAGTGCCAGGACGGGTGGCTCAGGGGCATCTCCCTGGTCACCGGGCGAGCCGGCATCTTCCCAGGCAACTACGTCATCCCCATTTTCAGGTGCGTCTCCTCCAATCCCAGGCATCGGGAGGTCAGGTCATCCTAGGCCAGGAGCCATCTGTGAGTTGAGCTCATGGAGGACTCAATGCTCTTTCAGAGTATGGGCTAAGAAAGAGCTAGTACCCTTCTAACCCTTAAAACAAAACAGCAAAGATCATTATCGATTTTGTAGCTCTTCACAGCTTACAAGCACTTTCATGTCTTTTAGCTCATCGGCTATGCCCAGGCATCCTGCAAGGTAGAAATTCATTTACAGATGAGGAAACGAATGTGCAGAGTTAAGCAACTTGCTCAAGAACTAGATGTCAGGTTTTCTTCTGCACAGATCCCAGAAATCCCGCTTTGCATCCTCCACCCCAATACTCCATCTAGTGGCACAACGGGAAAATGTGGCCGAATGGCCTCCCCAGCACCTCGGGATACTTCTCAGGCTGCTAGGCCCTAAGGCAGGGCATCCCTGAACTCAGACCACCACCTGTTCATGCACCGCCCAGAACAAACGCTAGTTACCCTGCAGGGCCTCTTCCCCAACAGCTTTCCCCAGCCTTTCTCACTCTGCAGCATTCCTATTAATGTCATCGACCCCGGGTTGTCCTGCCACCTCACACCACTGCTGCAGATGCACACAGGCCAACGCTCGCTATCCATGACTTCTCCTGCCTCCAGCCCCATCAGCCCAGGCAAAGCCCGCTTCAAGGCACTGAGGCCATCACCATCCGTCAAACACTGTCTTTGTGACAGACCAGTGGGTCACAATTCCCAGGAAAGTGACTGCCCTATTGTTCTCTATGGGAGTCAGACCTGGAGTCATGTGCCCACGTTGGGGGCCTTCATTTAGGCGGGGCACTGTGTCCGGAGGAGGGCAGCAAGGATGGTGAGGAGACAGCAACCTAGGTCACAGGAGAAACCGATAAAGAAACTGTAGCAGACAAGGGGCAGACGGATCATAATAGACTGCGTAGACCAGGAAGTAGATTTGTTCCATGAGGGGCAGTGGAGTGGACCAGCGTATACAACTTAGAAGGTTTTGGTTCAATAAAAGGCAGCATTTTCTAACTCATAGCTCTTTTCCAACCAGGCTGGCTGGTGGGTGGTGACCCCCTTTCTAGGAAGAGTGCAGGCAAAGTCTGGGTGCCCTTACATCCGGGGCTGTATAAAAAGATTTCTTCACATGGCAGAAAGATGAGCTAGAAGATCATAGTCATTCCTTTCGATGGAAGGTTCTTGAAATTTGTTATAAAGTTGCAAAATATCCAAAGGCAAACTAAGGGTGTCTATAATTGATGTTTTAATTCATTTTTATTCAACAATTTTTTTTTTTTTTTTTTGAGACAGAGTCTCACTGTGTTGCCCGGGCTAGAGTGCTGTGGCATCAGCCTAGCTCACAGCAACCTCAAACTCCTGGGCTCAAGTGATCCTCCTGCCTCAGCCTCCCGAGTAGCTGGGACTACAGGCAGGCCGTCTTCAACAAATATTGATTGAGTGCTAACTATGCGTCAGGCACCTTTCCAGGCACTGGAGAAATACCAGTAAACAAGACACACAAAATTGCTGCCCATAGCAGCTTACATTCTAGTGAGAGAGACAGATAAGAAACAAAATAAATAAGTAAGATATGTGGTGTGTTAGTGATAAGGGCTAAGAAGAAAAATCAGAAAAAAGTGCGGATAGAATTTGTGTGGGGGTGGTTAAGATCTCAGATGAGTTGGTTAGGGGTGGCCTTGCTGAGAAGTAAGAAGGAGGAATGAAGGAGATGGGTGAGCCATGTGGCGCTCTGAGGGAGGTGCATTCCAAGCCACAGGAACCTGGGTCCAAAGGCCCCGAGTAGGAGAGTGCCCAACACAAAGGCCGGCTGGCAGGATTGGATTAGAGCAAGTGAGGGGAGGTGAGTAGGAGGTGGGGTCACAATAGTATCTAGTATCGGGGGCCAGGTCATGCGGAATCAGGGATTGGGCTTTAGCCCTATTGCACGGTTTTGAGCAGAAGAGTGGTATCATCTAAGCCATGTTTAACCAGAGTCCCTCTAGTTGCTGCGTTGGGAATAAACTATAGATAGGAAAGTGGAAAAGCATAAAAACTAGTTAAGGGGCTATTGTAATAATCCTGGGGAGAGCTGGTGGTGCATTGAACCAGGGCGTTAGCCATGGTGGTAGGGAAAACTAGTTAGATTCTGGATATACTTGAGGTTATAAACCACAGGATTTTCTAATAGATCTGATATCAGGTGTGAAAGAATAGAGGATTCAAGGTGAGTCCAGGTTTTTTCCCATGAGTAACTGGAAGATGGAGTTGCTTTTCACTGCAACAGAGATAATGGAGACCGCAAGAGGAATAGGTTTTGAGGTGTGAGGGGAAGCAAAGGCTTAGCTGGTAGCAGATTAAGTCTGAGATGCCTCTTAATGATCCAAGTAAGGATGTTGGTAAGCAATTGAGTACACCAGTTTAGCATTTAAGAGAGAGCTCCAGCCTTGAGATGCTGTTTAAAGCCATAAGACTAGATGAGATCATCGTGGTAGGATCAGTTGTATCCAGAGAGTGACACTTGGCCAGCAGCCAGAGTCTTCAAGAAGGAGGGGAGAGGCGTGGAGGGTGAATGATGGCCGCAGCAAGGTGGTGTGTGGGTGGTCCAATCTGATGACGTGAGTCAGAGCCGGGAAGTGTTGAGGAGGGTGGGGAGTGTTCTAGAAGTCACAGTGAGGAGCAAGGAGGATGCCTGTCCTAACTTACGAACGGTTTCTTCCATGAATTCCCCAGGGCCCATGCCTACTTCTAGGGTAGTTGCTTAGACATTAGGCCTTAACCCAAACATGCTGGTTATGCCATCAAAGAACCATTAAAATAAGGGTGACCATATATTTTATCATCCAAACTAGGACACTTTGGAGCAGGTATGGACTGAGACTCTCCCGGGAAAATCAGGCCGTATGGTCACCCTAACTAGAATGCATGTAGGATTCCATTCCAGCATAGTTCAAGGCTCCTGCTTCCGTTTCTCGCCTTCTTGGCTTTTCTCCTGGGTAGATCTCTTGTGTTCTTGGGCAAGCTGAGTGGTGAGCATCTGTTCTCAGCCCCTCAGAGATGCCTGCACGTCAGACGATGGAGGGAGTCTCGGCTCTGTAGGTCACCGCTGGATTCACCCCTTCCTCCCATCTCATAGAAATCTGAACGTATGCATATATTGAGGTGCTGCTAATTTTGAGGCATGATTTTGCTTATGGGAAACCAGCATTCCCTAGAAGAACAAGTCCCTGTCAGAGGATATGCTCCTGGGAGGTTATTAGGTGACAGAGGATCGAGCCCTTCACAGTGTAGGCACGTTTTCCTTGATGGTCTCTCTGATGCAAAGAAAGTTCCCTTCCTTCCCACTAATCCTGGACATGAATGACATACGCCCAATTTATCTACCTGGGTGCAGGCAACCCTTGTTCTTAACTACCCTTTCCACTATGGGAAGTTTAGTTCTTCCCACTATCGGGACTGAATGATGCTGTTCGATGTCAGCTAAGTATCTACAGCCATGAGCAAGTTGTGTGCAAGATCCGAGTGGGCTGGCCTACATGTGCAAGCCCATTCTGCTCTTGGGCTCCCCTAGCCTTTGTTTCCGTTTGCGGTGATGGCTCTGCACGTGCAGCCCCCGTGGTGCGTGGTGCAGCCTCTTGTAAGACAGCCCGGGCTCTGCAGTCTAAGGTGCCCCCTGAGCATTTCAGCCTTTGCTCTTATTAGCATCGGCCCCTAATGAACTGAACCAGCCAGAGTTTAGGGATTAACTGTAGATGAGAATTGACCAAAATGTCAGGGTTTAGATTTAAGATTCAGCGAATGAGCCTTTCAACCACCAGAGACAAAAAGGCAGCTGTGCTGCCCTGTGCCCAGGCCCTCGGTGCTAGCTGGTGACACCAAGCTGTCCAGCTGTTATTGACCACAGTTGAATCTCTGCCACCATGGTGCCTCTTCCCAGCTCCCGGAGACATTCCCTGGCTTAGCTTGTACAGAGCATTTGTCAGGTTTTCGTCTGTGCAGCGGCCAACATCCCTTGGGTGTCCTCTTTCGTGTGCAGTCTTGGTGGGAGGCAGACGCTTCCTCTTTCTTCAGAGGCTGAAGAAACCAAATCCTCCTCCTTTTCCTCCTCAACCCATCACCACAGCAAAGGGTCAGGTTCAGCCAATCTGATGCGACCCCGGGGGACTTTGAAACATAAACAAGGGTTAAAGATCATTCATGGTGAGAGCCCAGCCACAGCATGTGATGTGAGGCTTCCTGCTGCGGATCTCTGCTGCCCAGCTCTCTGCAGCCTCCTGGATCCTGTTTCCAAGCTCGTAACTCCCACTTCTGCCCTCCCAATGAACTCGCTTCCGCCCTGTTAGCCAGGATCTTCCTCTTTCTTGCAACTTCAGACACATATGCCTACCTGGTACTTTATGGGTAGAGAAAAGCAACAAATGGGCCACCGCTCATTGGCCTTTAACTCTCTAAACAGATCTGTATAAAGATTGTCAAGGTCCAACCATTCTCCTTATCAGGAGGCTGCTGCCAGTGGTGAGCACAGAGGAGCTGCTGTTTGTGATGCCCCATGTGCAATCGGGCAAGCTTGTCAGGGCTAATGTCCCAGTTAGAAGGACACAGGGACCTGCACTATGGAGCAAATCAGGTGCAACATCCACTCCTCCCACTTAAGCCCAGAATGCCTTTTGGTCTTCCCATCTGGAAAACAAAGATCATAATGCCTGCAGGACTGGGGTGTCACGGGAATCAATTAATATATGTCAGTAAAGTGCTTTGATGTTGGAAGAAAGTGCCAGGTAAGTGCTGAGCTTTTTGCCAAAAGACATAGAGGGACTCGGTGTCAGATGGGGGACATGGGATTTAGGGGTTCCTGGAATCCAGCCCAGTGCGGGGCCTGGAGAAATGGGGTCGCACCTCAGTCTATAAACAGTCATTCAAAGAAGGGATTGGTGGAATGAGAGTGGCTAGGGCCTAATTAGCTGTGTTCTGTCCTTAATGCTGCTGCTGTTGCTACTGCTGGGAATAATTTGGGAACCTGCCTCTCCAGTTGTCAATTCATTTTGCAGCATCCAACACCTCGAGGCCTCTCTTCAGAAGACAGGCAGATCAGCTGCACTCCGCCATGGAAGCCAGTGCTGAGCATTTCTCTCCAGAATATAGTCTGACCCCTCCCTGGTAGACAGCCCCACTCCTCTTCACTGACTGCACCAGCATGGGGGCCAGAGGCAGGTTGACGGCTATGAATAGAAGTCCCCTTGCTGCAAACATCCATTCCTAGAGCATTTGGCTAGATAAACTTCTTGGGCAGCGTTGGCCACAATTAAATGATGCTTTACCTATCTTCATACAACACTGACTTATTATTAAACTACATATCACTTTTTTAATCAAAAGAAGGAGAGAAAAGGAGCAAGAGGAGGATGAGGAGAAAGAGAAATGACCTTATGGAAGACCTGGAGGCGTTGGTGGGAAGGAAACCACGAGGGCACTTCTGTTGCCAGTGCCTTGGTTGTGTTCATTATTCCCAGGGAATTAGTAGAAGTTACTTAATCAACAGAGTGACAAGGTGATTGATGGGCTGCTCGGTAAGAGATGTGATGTTGGGGCTGGATTGGTAAAAGGGCAAGAACAGCACGAAGATGACAGCCACTCCCCACGGAGTTCAGGGAGCTGTAGGCTGGAAACAATGGACAAGGGATTGTTTTTTATAAAACTTTAATACTGTTCTTGAAAATCACAGCCTGAGGCTGAAGAATTAGAGTCTTATGGAGGCATACATAGGGCCTTCCAGCTGCTTCAGTTCATTTATTTCTGGCAGAATATAGGGCTTTTTCTGCTACCCAATGATGAATGCTCTAAGGTGGTGTAGTTCAGTGGTAAGAACGGAGGGCCAGCCTAAACCTGGGTTCAGATCCCAGGCCCAGTAGTTCCTTGGGCAAGTAACTAAGTCTTTGTATTCTTTTATTTATAAAATAGTGGCACTAAGGGCACATACCTAAGAAAGCTGTTGTAAAGAACCTGTGAGATAATGTGGGCAAAGCCCTTGGCCAATGCCTCGCACAGAGTAAGCACTCAGCATGTGTTAGCCAGAATGACTGGCATCAATGCTGAAAGCATCATGGCAGCCATTGACAAACGTTTATTAATCAAGAATATACACAGAATACAGAGAGATAAAGTATCACTAATAAAGTGGGGCACTGTGGCTCACTCCTGTAATCCCAGCACTTTGGGAGGCCGAGAAGAGAAGATTGCTTGAGTTCGAGACCAACCTGGGCAACATAGTGAGACCATCTCTACATAAAAATTTAAAAATTAGCCAGCTGTGGTAGGGCACACCTGTAGTCCCAGCTGCTTGGGAGGCTGAGGTGGGAGGATGGCTTGAGCCCAGGAGTTTGAGGTTACAGTGAGGTATGATGACACCACTGCACTCCAGCATGAGCAACAGAGCAAGACCCTGTCTCTAAAAAATAAATAAATAAAAAAAGTAAGTTATAAAATCTCTGCCTTCAAAGAGTTTAGAATCTAGTGGAGAAGTCACTGACTAAATAAGAAACTGCCACTGCAAAGCAAATTGAACACATACAGGATCTTGTGCTTTGAACTCAAGGGCTAAAGGGACATGGGGTGAGGGGTGACCAGAATCAGAGCAAGAGATGATGACATTCGAGTCTTCTAGTTCCATCAGAGCCTCCGTGTGGGCCCTCTCCCTGCGCTTGGCATACCTCCTGGTTAACCAGGTGTAGGCAGGTGGGGCCGACTTAGTTAAGACTGCAGTTGACAAAAGGTGTGTATGGGTGGGAAGAAAGTAAAAACTGGTTACATTTGATATATAGTTGGGAGCTGTTAGGTTTTTAAAATAAAACTGAAAGTTTTCTTTTTCTATTTCTTCTCTTAAAAAAAAAAAATGCCCAACAACCAGAAAGACCTCTAGTTTTCCAGATTCCCGGAGCCCGGGTCTCTATGCCACATGGACGTTATCCACCTCCTCTGTGTCCTCCCAAGGCAGCATTTCAGAAGGTGACCCCCGGCAAAGCCGTGCCTTCAAATCCGTCTTTGTGCCCACCGCCATTGTCAACCCCGTAAGGAGCACAGCCGGCCCAGGGACTATAGGACAAGGGTCTCTTCGGAAAGGGCGGAGCAGCATGAGAAAGAGTAAGTGGTGGAAGAGAGGTACGTGCCCAGAGCTAAGTGATGGAGGGATGTGACGACAGGGTACACTGGATGCTTTTCATAAAAACAGGATCTTGGCTTTAAACTGAGCCTCTGCAAAAGGTGCTTTACAATGCCCAAATGATGAGTTGTTTTATTGAATGAAGCTAGACTGACTCAAGGTCACTGCCTTGGGTCACTTCATACATGCAAATTGAATGACTAGGTTGATAGCGGCCCTGAGTGCCAACACATAATTAGAACATGGCTAACATAGATGCTGGCTCTTAAGACAGAATGACCAAAGCACTGGCTGGGCCAGTGCTTCTCAAACTATGTTCCCGGGAACCCTCAGGGGGTGCCACAAGAGAAACAGGGAAGAGTAGGATAAGCAGGCAGAGGGTGGGAGTAGGAAATGAGATTAGGAAGAGGCAGTGCTTAGAGCTCCTGATTCCTACTATGTTATTTAAGTAATGAATGCATAGGGTGAAAACAAAAAAGATTATAGCGCACAAAGTATTCAAAAGCAAGTCTCCTTCATATCCTTAACCCCCAGCCCAAGTTCTCTTTCATAGATAGATAGATAGAGAAATAGAAAGATACACAAACCTGTTATCATACTCACTACACTATTCTGCACCTTGCTTTTATTTTTACCCACATAACATCCACATTGCACACATGGCAATATATACAGATTCTTCATCTTAAGAACCATCTTTTCACAAGTGGAACTTCTATATAAGATTCCACTTTCAGGTGTTCTAAAAAGTATTTGAAACCCAATTGTTCTACAAAAAAAAATCAAAATTTTATATTCTTACATCTCTGTCGAGGACAACAAGCCAAGCACAGTAAATATGACTTATTCCATGTTCCCTGATTTAAATCAGGGTCCACAGTCTCTCTTGGGATCTTAACAAAGGGATAACATGAAAATGCAATATGACTAGTCAAGGCAGAAGAATAACAAGCGTATGGGACAATATGCCACGTAGGAAAATTCACCAAGAAAAAGAGATGAATTTAACTCCACCAGTCCCAGTGCTTTCATCTGACAACCTGCTTGACCACCAGACCACTGCTCTGGCCACTGCATTCCTGCCAGCCCCACCTCCCTCCTTCACCCTCCCTACCATCCTCCACCTCTCCCCACAGCACACACACAAAATTAGTAATCCCACCACACCAGCCTTAGGCAAGTTACTAACCTCTTCAGTCTTCAGTTCACTCATTTGTAAAAGGGAAATAAAAATAATACCTACCTCATCAGGGTTACCGAATGGATTTAATAAAACAATTCACATAAGGCTGATGACACAGTGCTGAGCACATAATTAATATCTTGAGAAACATTACTATAAAGTATTATTTTATTAGAATTATCATTGCTCCTATAACTAAGCAGATCATCTTTGGTCCATCCAGAGTGTGAACTCACTTAGGGCTGAAACGTCCACACTCAGTCTAGACCACTTAGGAATGCAGAGAATTGCATCCTCTGGGCAATTGCTCACACTTTCTTTAATCCATGCCCGCTCTACCTTCGCATAGATCTTGATTGGCTTGGAGCTTTGACTTCTTGCATTGTATGCACATGTAATAAGAAAGCATTAAATCTCTTGAAAATTAGGAATTGACAAGATAAATAGATAAGGCATAAAACCGATTTTTCACACATTAATGAGAGCCTCAGGACATGTCTGTCCCATGCTGCTTTGACTTCCCGGGTCCCAGAGGCTTTCTCATTCTCCCTTTTCCCAAGGTGAGGCTGGTCAGCCTATCAATCTCCCCAAAGTGAAGAGAAATGACAGGAGAATTGACCGTGTGCACCTCACAGGGCTGTCAGTGGAAAAATAAATGTCTCAACTGAAAGGTCAAACTTGTGTAAATGGTGACTGGCTTGCTTGCAGCAGCTGAGGATGCCAACTGTGTTTAGTGTGCGTTCTGCTTTTCGTGTACGCGTCTGGCTTGACGAAGAGTCACAGTGCAAACGTGGCCTTGGCTCAGGCCCTCTGTGCTGGACACAAATGACTCTGATTCAAACATGTGTCCATGGAGTGTCACAAAGTATTATACTAACATCTCTGGCTGGGACGTAACCTATGGCTCTCTAAATGCTGGCAGACCCTTACAGAGAAATGGCCCAAAACGTTTCTCAGGGGTGTCGCCCCCACCCCCCCACAAAGTGCAATGAACTCTTGATTCCCCAGGTCACCCACAGGACATATGTCCAAGGGATGTGGATCTCCTGTCTTCCAGAGAATTTGAGGGGAAAGATGGCTTCCTTTTACTGAAGGAGGACCATCTCAATTTTTTAAGAAAGAAAAAGAATGAGCTCAAGAAGGGGCAAAACCAAACTCTTTCACCTTGTAATTTTAGGGTATGCTATGCTTTACCCAAAAATAATGATAGCTAACAAGCACGGGGCAGTTATTACATTCCAGGCACTATCCTAACACTTCGCACACTTCCTAAAACACAATCCTCCCAGAAGCCCTATGAGATGCTGTTACTGTTTCCAGTTTACAAATGAGGAAACCGAGGTGCAAGGAGGTGATGTGACTTACTTCTCCCAGGCTCCCCAGGAGAAGGTCGGATTCCAGATCTATGTCACGAGACTTTACCAAGCTCGTTCACCCAACCCTAGCTCTGGAATAAATAACCTGTCCAAATCTGCCTCTGTCTGGAGTGGTGCTTCCCTAGCCCACCCACTGTTATTTCCACTCACCCATCCTCCCTGCAGCCCCCAACAAAAAAGAGACCCCACAACCACCTGCCTGAAGCATGTGTTAGAATTTTCTTCAGCAAGTAGCTGGTCAGAGTTGTCCTCTCCCTTCCTCTCTCTTTTCCTCTTTGCTTCTCTCTCGTCCTGCTGAGTTGTCGCTCCCTTGTGTTTCTTAGTTTCTACTCTCTGTCTCCTGTCTCCGACTCTGTCTTTTGTTTCCTATTTGGTTTGCCTGCTTCTGTGTCTGCTTCACACTGTGTGTGTGTGTGTGTGTGTGTGTGTGTGTGTGTGTGGCGTGTGCGTGCGCGCACGTGTGAGAGAGAGAGGGGGCGAATGGAAGCAATATACCTTCTGTCAGCCTCACACACAACATTCAGCTAGAGAGTTATTTGCTGCCAGCATCAGCAAACAGTGCTAAAAAAAGAATAAGGTCACCTTTGAACGACCCCAAGAGAATGTGAGCACAGTCAGATTAGAAAGCACTTACCTATTCTGGGCTATCAGGAGCAGCACTTACCCAGTTCCACCCAGCTGCTGATGTCTCTGTCATCTAATTCCCCAGATGGATCCCTGCAGAGACCCGTCCAGTCAGGAGTCCCCACCCTTGTGCTGGGCTCCCTCAGACGCAGCCCCACCATGGTTGTGCGGCCTCAGCAGTTCCAGTTCTACCAGCCACATGGGGTCTCCTCTTCCCCATCCTCAGTGGCAGCGGTGGAGATGGGCCCCAAGCCTGCCCCCATGGGGGAGCCCGCCCTCACGTGCATCAGCAGGGGCAGCGATGCCCGGATCCACTCAGCAGCCAGCTCCCTCATCATGGAAGGCAAGGACATCCCCATCAAGAGCGAGCCTCCGCCAAAACCACCTGCGTCTGCACCACCATCGATCCTGGTGAAACCGGAAAACTCAAGAAATGGCATCGAAAAGGTAGGTGTGGAGTGGCACTGGGGGCCTGACTCTTTAGACCCCCGATTTTGCACCGTATCTCAGTCCTGAGATATCAGTGTCAGTGGACAAGGAACCAAAACAGCAGCCGCAAATGAATCCTCACACACAACACCCGCCCAACACACACACACACACACATCCTCATACCACTTACACCCTCCCTGGCTGTGTTACCGATTCTCCTTTATGCTTCCCAAATATTTTATACATACTTCTTCTGAGGCCCAGAGCGGCTTGAAGAAAACATGGCTTTGGCATCAGACACATCTTGATTTGAATTCCTGCTTGCTAGCTGGGTGACTTTGGCCAAAACACTTCACCCGTCTGGGATTCTTTTTTTGCCTAATCTGTAAGATGGAGGTAAGAATAGTAATGGCCAAATAGGATCGGAGTGGAGATGAAATGAGATAAGGTATGTGACGTGCTTACATAGGGCTGGGCACGTAATTATTCATTGTATAAAAGAGGCAACTGAGGCACAGGAGAATTTAAGTGACATCAAGTTCACACTGAATGATAAGGACTCCAACAACCAACTTATGGTGACCTCTTTGGCAGAGGTCAGATCTGTTTACTTCTAGTCCAGGACTTTTCCCACTGGAAAGCATAAGAGTTTTTGTAAAAGGCTTATAGTCTCCATAATATCCTTGAAGCAGGATGGATGGTGGGAAGGAAGAGGTGACATTAGAAAATTAGGTGATGCTCATTGTTATTTTTTAGTTTATTGAGTATGACCACCATCATCATCACTACCACCATCACTCCTATCACCGCCACCATCATCACCACCACCACTCCTATCACCACCACCATCATCACCACCACCACTCCTATCACCACCACCATCACTCTTATCATCACCATCATCACCACCACCACCACTATCACCACCAGCATCACCCATTCCCCCAAAACAGAAAGAGGATGTGGTTTTCCCCTATTTGTTAAGCATTTACCAAATACTAATGACCTGGCAGGCACCATGCTGACTACTTCACATGCCTCATCTCATTTAATCCTGACAACAACCCTCTGAAGTAGGCATTAGTTTCATCCTCATTTTAAAATGAGGACATGGAGGCTTAGGGAGTTAAAGAACATCACCCAAAGTCACACAGCTGACACATGTGTCTGGACTAGAATCCAGATATGATACAAAATTCATGCTCTTAATGCTAAGCTATATGCTTATGGGGAAAAGCATTTGGAAAAAGTTAGTGTTAACTGGTGTAAATGTTGGGAGTTCTTATTCTGAATTGTAGTATTCAAATAATTAAAAGTGGTCTAGACCCCACTTGTGCAATACTCCAATTATTAGATACAGCCCTCAAACCATAAGTATTTAAGAAGTGCCCAGACCTCGCCAGATATGGTGAGGGTCAGAAAGTGTGAAAAAACTTGGATTCTCAGTGGGGGACACTAGGATTGAATTTTATGGAAATAAGAAATCATTCCTAACCAGTACCATGGAACACTTCATTATGCCCTAAGACAGGGAGGGATTGGCACAAACTGAAGATCACGCATCTCATATAAAGGGGGACTGCTTCTCAGCTCCAGCCAGCTGTTGCCAGAATGGGCCATAGGCCCAGTGTGCCAGATCTTTCATTTTTTAAAAGGCATATATGAAATTCTGATTTTGATATGCAATCTCCCAATTTGTATGTGTTGGCGAGTCGGTCAAACCCTCAAACATTTTGCAGGCTAAAATCAGCCAGTAGCTGTCCAGTTTGCAAACTCTGCTCTAAGGAAATCTCTAAATGGAGTCATCAGGAGAGGCCCCAAGGAGGAGGGAGGCCCAGAGACAGGACTTATTGATGGGCAGGGAGGAGAGAGAGAAAATAACTTTCATTTTTCTAGAAAATTTTGCCTCAGGTCCTTTTCACAGGGGGTTGCCTACCCTATTTCTCCCAGATAATTCCTAATCCTTCAGTTTTATTTATTTATTTATTTGTTTGTTTGTTTGTTTATTTATTTATTTATTTATCTGATGCAAGGTCTCCCTCTGTCCCCCAGGCTGGAGTGCAGTGGCGCCATCACAGCTCCCTGCAGCCTTGAACTCCCTGGGCTCAAGCGATCCTCCCACCTCAGCCTCCTAAGTAGCGGGACTACAGGTGCATGCCAACATACCCTGTAGTCCTGCACTAATTTTTCTGTTTTTTTGTAGAGACAGAGTCGACCTATGTTGCTCAGGCTGGTCTCGAACTCTTGGAGTCAAGTTATCCTCTCACCTCAGCCTCCTGAAGTGTTGGGATTACAGGCGCAAGCCACTGCTCCCAGCCAGTTCTCAATTTAAACAGCTCTGCCTCTAGGAAGACTTCCCTGTCTACCTCATTCCAGTTGGAGATAGATACTCCTCTGCATTCTCAGCATCTTATACTTCCCCCATCATAGCACTTGTTATAATCGTCTGTCAGGACAGTTTTGTTCACTGTTGGATCCACAGCACCTAACAGAGTGCATGGTACATAGTAGACACTTAAATGAGACGCAAATATTTGCTGAGTGAACACATAAAAGAGGTATTTCGAGTGTAGACAAGTACGGGAAAACACCATGAACCAAGTCCCAGGAGAAAATAACACACGTCTCCCACCTTACCCGTGTCCCTTTGCTCTCCTTTCTCTTGCAGCAAGTCAAAACCGTGAGATTTCAGAATTACAGCCCTCCTCCCACCAAACACTACACCTCCCATCCCACCTCCGGAAAGCCTGAACAGCCAGCCACCCTCAAGGGGTCCCAGCATGAAGCATCCTCCTTGGGCCCAGAGATGACCATCCTATTCGCCCATCGAAGTGGCTGCCACTCCGGACAGCAGACAGACCTCCGGAGAAAGTCAGCTCTTGGCAAGGCCACGACCCTGGTTCCTGCTGCCTCAGCCACGCAGACCGTGTTTCCCAGCAAATGAATCCACGGGTGGCTTTTCCTAGACCCCAAAGAGGTGAATTGCATTTAAATACAGTCTGCCTCCACTAAGGGCATCCTGCCATTCTTTGGGGACTTGAGTACAGGTCCTTGTTCTTCCCATTTTACCTCCAGGAAAAAAACAAGGTGGAAGTGGAAATTCCTGCCCTGGGTGGGAGGATAGATTGGGTGTCCTTCCAAACATCATGATTTGATGCAGCAAAGCCCACTACTACTCCGACCAAGGAGTGGGAGACTGCTGGGCCCACTTTGTTCCCCAGCATGGAGTGTGTGGCCCCTCATCCCCTGTGTTCTGTGTAGAATTTCTATGGTGTCCTAACAGGGGCTCCAGCAAGGTTGTGACAAGGGTGGGATTGTTGGCATTGCTTCTTTGACCTTATCATAACTTCAACAAGCATTGTAACAGCTTCTGCCATCTTTTGGGGCCTGTGCACTGGCCACTAGTAGCTACCATATTTTTTCCTTCTGTAAAGTCATAATCCTGGCTGCAAAGGGAGAATTTCTGGGAGGGGTGTAAGATGGACAGTTTGAACATTCTGAGAACCCACTAAAACTAGAGGGAGTCAGCTCCCCAAGTTTGCTCCAAACAAGAAGGTCAGAGAGAAAGCTGACTGCCAAATATCAAAAGATTATCATACTTTAAGCTTCTTGATCTGTTTTCCCGCATATAATCCTACATGATAGGTAAGCAGAAAGCATGTGGTTGTGGATAGGGCCTTGTATGGTATCACTGACTGTTGATTCATCCTGGCTCTACATGTAGACTGACTTTCCCAAGAAAACACAACATGCTTAAAGACAGCCTTGTATGGGGCTGGAGTCTGGATGTAAATTCTGTTTGCATTGCAACAGTCTTGACTTTCCCTGGTTTCCTCTCATGTGGGGCAGCTCAGTTGTTTCGCCCACAAGGCAACAACGTCAGTGGGAATATGCCAGTCCAAGGCTGGGATGGGGTGCTGCCTAGAGGAAAGCTGCCATAACAGGGACTGGACAAAGAAGGTTGGAGAGGAAAGGGGGAAACAGAGGAGAAAAAAGGGAGAATGAAGAAAATATGGAGGAGAGAAGGGGGTGTGCAAGTAAGAGAGAAACATACAGGATTGAGAGTATCAGGGAAGGAGATAAAAGGGGGCAACCTTGCCATTCCTGACAGGTGGTGAAAGGAGGACAGTCTGCAATGGAGAAGGGGGCGAAACTAGGTGACCCACTAAGACGGGGCTGACACGCTCGGGACCAGCCAGGCAGAGCCCAGTAAACGGGTGAGGAGGCGTCCCAGGGAGGCAAGGCAATGCCGTACGACAACCCATTAATTCTCATTAAACTTAATTGTTGTGATTTAGCATTTATTGCATGCCCATCAATGTGGGCACTTAAATGCATAAATATTATTTGGTACTAAAGCTGGGTGCCATTTAAAAAAAAAAGAAAAGGCAGGTCTAATTAGACCTTTCCCCTCAACAGTTCTTGAAGATCCTGGGATTCAAACGTGTACCTTTTCCATACCCCACACACTTGGCCAATGGAATTGTCCACAGGCTTTTCCAGACCTTAATAAAACAAAACAAAACCATAATCCTGCCACACAATACTGCCCATACGTCGGTAGAGCCAACATGGTAGCTTTGCTCTGGGGTCAGACCCTGGCACCTCGGTGCGACTAATGGTGCTGAGGGTAGGATTAGATTGGGGGATATGGGGGACATCGAGGGGTAGAGGACACACTCCGAGGATGGTACTTGAGGAAATGGTCTCATTAAGCAGCACTTAGACCACTCACTTAGGCCTTGTCTCCTTCCCTGCTCGTATGGACCAGCCTTGCCTCCCCACCCTTCACCCATCCCAGACTCTTCCTAGAGTTTAAGGCAGTGCCCCACCTGTGACAGGTAGATGCAGGACGGAATACATGGCTCGGTGACTTCCAGTGTCTCCTGAGAAGTCAGGGGATCTGTCCACCCCAGGCCTGCAGTACTGAGCCGCAGCAATCCAGGGGGCTGGCTCGGGCAAGGCGCCCCCTGATGTGCTACGCCCCATCAGCCTTCCGCACTCGCCCGCATGACCTGCACCTGGATCAGGCGTGGCCCCCTAGAGACTGTGTGCTGGACTCCGTCTCTCAAGGCAGCACAAACCCCTCAAACGCTGGAGCTGAATCCTTAGAGATCAGCCAGCGGATCCTGGGTCCTCGGGTCTCAGAAGCATAGTGAGCCTTGCCTGGGCCCTAGAGATTCTTATTCAGTAGTTCGGGAGAGGGATCTGGCGTCTGTGTTTTTGTCAATCTCCCCAAGCGATTGTGATGCACGTAGGATCAATCCACCTCTGTCAGACTGTGCAGCAGAGCGGGCATTCCGCAGGAGTACGGCCACACTGGTCATCGGCATGTTGGAATAGGTTTGTACTCACAGGTGAACAGTGGATGCTCTGAGCTTCCAGGGCCCTTCCCAACACTCCACCTCCCTCGGGCCAGGTGCAGCTGAGACCCCCAGCAATGAAGCCCTTCCTCATTCTCATTGGCTAGTGCCTATGAGATACTCGTGGCCAAATATCTTGACTGTTACCCTATAGTACAGAGGAGGGCCGAGAGGTCACTCAGAGGCCAAGAGCACTCTTCCCAGCCCCATCCTGGCCACTGGCCAGCCCTTGACAATCACCTTCGCCTGGCCCTTAGCCTAGGACAGGAGCTGACTGGGAGGGAGGGCAGTTCCACGCTCGCTGGTCTGCCTTTTTCAGCTCACACTTTCACAGACATTAGTAATGCCCGTGAGCTTCCTAGCTCCTCTGGCACTGGTGTGGCAGGTACAGAAGTTATCTGTTTCAATAAGAAGAGCAGGCATCCATCCTCATCCTCTCTCCTGCCTCTGACCCCAGGCAGCCATGCATCCTCTGAACTCCCTTCCCAGGAAGTGAGCAGCTGCAGCAGGCAAAATGGCAAAGTCCTATCCAGTCTCTCCAGCTGGGCCCAAGTGCTCAGCAAGCTGGCGTGGGGCAGTGCCTGGTTCAGCAGCTGCTGCCACCGATGCTTCTCTTATTTACGTCTTGAGAGAAAAGGCCCTGGTTCTCCCTTTAGCTAAGAAAGAATGTGTTAGCGCTCTCTTCCAGCAACCTCTCAGGTGACCGTGAAAGACAGTCCCTTAGGGAATGTGTTTGGCAGACAGGACCAAACCGGAGACGTTAACTCCAGAGATGTTTGCAGCAGATTGGTGTCATTGGGAATAAATCATGCAAGGACGTTTTGCTTGAAATAGGGGAATGTTAAATGATCAAGCCATCTTGATCATTTGCCAAGCCATAGCGTTATGTCCTAGACCAGAACAGAAACAAAATGTTCCTAGGGGGCCCTCTAGGATCTCCCCTTCAGCAGATAGCATGCAGCAGCGGTGGGAGCCAAGTCAAGCTGGTGGGGGTGGGGGCCGTGGAGGAGCGTTACAGACTCACCGTCCATTCGTCCATGTCCTCACTTGATCACAGGTACCCACTACCCACTGCGGACCAGACCCTGGGAGAAGCAATGGAGATAAAAACATTAACAGGATAGATACAGGATAGATAAAAATAGATACAGCCCTCTTGAGTGTTTGTTTCTTATTAATTTTTTCTGAATTTGAGGGTTCCTTTCTATTTTTCTCTCCTTTTTATTATTAAATGTTTCAAACATATGAAATATATATACACACACATATATATTTATATGAGGTCATAAAACAAATAATCATATGCCTGCCACCGAGCTTTTATAAAAATAGTCATGATCAACACCACTGAAGCCCACCGTGTGCCTCTCAATCCCATTCCTGTCTTCCCCTCCCCTCCAACTTCCCTCACAATCGCTACCCTGAATTCCGTGCTTATCTTTCCCTTGTCATTTTCCCGCTCATGTACCATATGGAATTTTCTGCGTAGCCCAGAGAGGTATTCGGTAAACACTAGTCAAAGCAAACATTGCAACCCAAGGCCACAGACATTCTGCCTGAATATTTGAGCTCACATCTGGCTTCTTTCCCTGGGATTCTCAGGCTTTGATTCATTGCTGGGAACCAAGATTTTGATGCACCAGCATGTCTAGTGTTGAGAGGTTCTAGTGTGGAGGGATTTTTTACAAGAATTTTTCCAATCACCGCTGTCTTTGGAGACCTCGCTGCTTCTGAATAAGGAAACACAGGTTGTGTGGCTGTGCCTGAGTTGGTTGCGTGTAGGGCTTTTCAGGCAGCTGTCCTCTGGGCCTTGCCTGGCACCTGAGTAGCCAAGCACAGAACCCAAAAGCAGCTCCTCTGAGTCTGAAACTGAAAGAGATCTTGCTGCTGCTGCTGCTGCTGCTGCTGCTAGTGCTGTTGGTAAAGTCTCATAAGAACATTGTGAGAAGGAAGGGAAAAGCTATTTTTGTCCCCAGACTACAGATCAGAAAACTGAGACTCAAAATGTTTCAATTCCTTGCTTAAGGTCACAAAATTACTTTGAGATGGAGTGGAAACTTGAAAAAAAAAAACTAGCATCTCTGACTCCTCATCCAGCAATAATTGCCATCATTGCTGAGCACCAGACGTGCCAAGCACTCTACATGTTACATGCATCATGTCATCTAATTCTACCCAGCCCTGACAGAAGTACGGCTGTTACTCCATTTTAGAGATTAGAATGAAGGCTCAGAGGTCAAATGACCTGTCCAAAGCAACAGGGACTAGAATCCAGCACTGTAAGCCCCAAACCTTAATCTTAAGTCACTACCTACCTCTTCTTCAATGGTAACCGTCAACATGGATGAGATTGGAGAGGAGGGACAAATGGGATGTGCTGCTGAGGTCACCAGGATGGGGACGGAGACAGAGGAGAGTTTAACTCAGTCAAGCTTTCTCAGAGAAAAACCACAAGGTAAGGTCTTGTTGTCTAATAAGTAGGGGTGGGAGGGAAGATAACTAAGAGTGTTCTGCCCAGAGAAATCCAAAACGCAAGTCTACCCCCACTGCAAGGGCTGCCAGACAGAGCCGAGCAACTTGAGAAAGAACTGAAGCTTGCAATGTGGTTCTGGATCATTGACATCAAAACACAGTGATCATTTTGCATTCCCCAGATCACTCACTCTCTCTTCGTGAGATTATTTCTGGTTTTGTCTGTCCTCACTCTAAATGATACAGAGTGGAGTCCCAGAAGAAAGGGGGTATGATTTTCAAAGTAGCCCCCACTTCCATCTCCTCCGTGGGAACAAGAGGGACAAGAGGGCTCAGAAAGCTGACATCTTCTAGTGTTCCATGCTGGTGTTTATCCAAAGTTCACGTGCAATTGCTTTGGGGGGTAGACACACATCCACAGATGCAAGCTAATTATGCAAATAGTGTCACTGCTGGATGGACAAGAGCTGCAGCCTGGTAAGGACTAAAAGGATGCCAGCCAAGACCCAAAAGAGGAAGGTAAAAGGCATTTGCAGAGGCCATTTTGTGCACTGTGTGCAGTTTCGCTAATGCTATAAAATCATTGCTAGCGTGATCGACCGACTTGATGAGGGCCATTTGTGACGTCAAGATTTGACTGCTGTAGGTCACACGTGTCCTGGAGGCCAGCACCATCCTAATGACCTTCCCGTGAAAACACTGACGCCCTGG